AAAGAGTGCTTCTATCGACGCAGAGAAATCTATGATTTCCAAGGTTAATGATGAAGTTTTCTTTTCTACGACTTATATGCATAGTGAACTCACCATCACTTGATTGTACTAACAAAGTTTTATCTCTGTACAGTTGAAGACTGAGTGTGGCAGTCAGTTTACGAACAAACTCGAAGGAATGTTTAAGGTGTGCGATTTTCTAAATCATACGAAATATATGTTCAAGATTAGTGATTAGTTAATATTGCCTCCCAGTATCTCATGCCAAAACTAGGGATGGCAGAATTTGCCTAACTGACCAGCCTCTTACCTATTTTTCTTCAGACTGACAAGACGCATCAGATTGACTATTAGAGTGCAATTTGTTTGGGAAAATGAGGTCCAGACCATCTGGTTTTGATTGTGGGTCCAATGTTTGCTTATCTCTATAGGATGCTTAATGACGAAAGGATCTTTTACAGGCTTGTTTAACTGTTATGTTTGAATGAGTTCTTGTGCTAATTTTAGCTATACCCGGTTACTTGCTAGAAGATGCTGTAGTTAGAATAGTATTATTGAGACACTCTGCAGGCTTAACTATCTGGCTGTTTTTCTTTTTGTCTGGTACTCTTGGCTTGACCATGGGAGGATTTTGTCACAGATCATAGATTTCATTAGCAATGCAAGCATTATTTGGATACATGAATTGTATGTTTCTACTTGAAGAAATGTGATACCCATTGGCTGATCAAAATCTGCGCATTGAATATGGGTCATTATTATTTTTTCCCTAATATGTGTTACACACATCGTGGTTTTTAAGTCAACCTTTTTGCTCATGTAGTTACTATGTTTAGTACAAGGGGAAGGAAAATAGGGAGGATGTATAGGGTTGTTACAAAATGAAGAAAAATAGAAGGATGTGGTGGAGTGTGTTGGTGGAGATCAACTTTGCCCATCTTATGTGTTGTGTGTCTTTTCTTTTCTTTTGGTGGGCAACATAAGAAAAGGGACAAATAATTGCACTATGTTGACCTTCTATATTAGTAACAAGTCCATTTGTTTTTGAGCTCCTGTAGCTAGTTTGGGATTCATGGTCATGTTATGTATCAGCCTCTTTCTTCTTTCTTCTCAGAATCATATTCACTTTATGTAGAGATGGATTTGTGATCAACTGTATGAGCTTCTGTGGCTAGTTTTCTATGTAATGTTTAATGATTTGCTTTGCATGTACACTTTTTCAGGATATTGAACTGTCAAAAGAGATAAACGAGTCCTTCAAACAATCATCCCAGGCCAGGACAAAGCTCCCGTCAGGGATTGAGATGAGTGTTCATGTCCTAACGACTGGGTATGTTTAAAGTTTGGTTTTCATTTTTGTTTTAGAATGTGGCATGCGAAAAGTTTTGGTTTGGTTCCTTATGTTGTGTTCAATATGTTCCCTTAAAATATGATTGAAATTGAAAAGTGTAGCTTGTAATAAAATGAATCTGTTTAGTTTTAAACTGTCCATAAAGTTTGGTGACATTTTGGTTCAATTATGTCATTTTCTTGCACATTTTGATCTATTAAATAAGATATATATTGTTTAAATGCTTTTTTTTTTTTTTTTGGGTGCAAATATATCTTTAATTGAAAGTATACATTTTATATGTGAACATTATAAAGAACTTTACTTAAATCTTGCCTTAATTTTATCTACATTATTTATCTCTCTATGTCGGCAACGAGTTTAAGTGGTTTTTTTTGGGGATGGGTACAGGTACTGGCCAACATATCCTCCCATGGATGTTAGACTTCCTCATGAATTGAATGTCTACCAGGTTCAGTACATGCTACACAACAGATGCTTTTGTTGCTGGCAATATTAATGTGCTTTGTACAATATTCTCAGTCCCATTTTTCTTTGTGCAATAGGATATCTTCAAAGAGTTTTACTTAAGCAAGTACAGCGGTAGGCGTTTAATGTGGCAAAATTCATTAGGTCACTGTGTGTTGAAAGCAGAGTTTCCCAAGGGCAAAAAGGAGCTTGCAGTTTCTCTGTTTCAGGTTGGTTGCGTCTCGGCCCTTGTGCTTCTGTTTATCAGCATTAGTTATTTGTTTTCCTGGAGAATTCTTTAAATTTTACCTGTTCAAGTGGATTAAGTATGGTTGTTTTGTTTGCCAGACTGTTGTGTTGATGCTGTTTAATGATGCTGAGAAGCTAAGCCTTCAAGACATTAAGGATTCAACTGGCATTGAGGACAAGGAACTGAGAAGAACTCTGCAGTCCCTTGCATGTGGAAAAGTTCGCGTCCTGCAAAAGGTGGGTGGCCGGGTGGTCGTTCATTGCCAGATTCATATGTACAATATTTATCTGTAACATAATTGGAGATGTCAGCTCTTATCCTTACCTTTTGTTTTCTCCCTTTTTAAATTTTTGTTACAGTTTCCCAAAGGGAGAGATGTGGAGGATGACGATACATTTACGTTCAATGACGGATTTACTGCTCCTCTCTACCGCATAAAGGTACTTTGGTTTGTATGTCCAGTTGTAACAAATTAACAATGATTATCAGAAGGCACCAAGCTTGCATAAGCACAAAGCTTATTATAGGCCTCAGGAGTTTAAAAAGTGAATTTTTATGTCCGAACGTCATAGACTGTCAATTTTCACCTCACTTTATAATACATCACTCTCATGTTCGCTACAGGATGATTTTATTTTGGAGTTCTGTTTTAGATTGCCACTCACAGGATGAACCTTTTATTTGATGGATGCAGGTGAATGCAATCCAAATGAAGGAAACAGTGGAGGAGAACACGAGCACCACTGAAAGAGTATTTCAAGACCGCCAATATCAGGTTGACCTTTTTTCTTTTTTTTTCTTTTTTTTTTGTATGTTCCAGATTTGTCCTATACACATGCTGGTTTCATCCCAAATTCCAGAACAGATTGTTCTCTTCTTTCCAATTGAAAATGTTGCATTACCTGATGTATTGCAGGTTGATGCTGCCATTGTTCGGATAATGAAAACTAGGAAGGTGCTGAGCCACACTCTTCTGATAACAGAACTGTTCCAACAGGTGAAAAAAAAGGCATTTGATTTTATTCAACTTTATAAATAAGTATTTATGTTCTAAAAATAAGGAATGAGTTTAAATTAAGCGAAACTATGTGTTGGTGTGTGTTTCGGTGAGCAGCTTAAATTTCCGATAAAGCCGGCAGATTTGAAGAAAAGGATTGAAAGCCTGATTGACAGGGAGTACCTAGAACGGGACAAGAACAACCCTCAAATTTACAACTACCTAGCGTAAGAAAATAAAAGAAAAAAATTGCAGCAGATTTTGAAGTTTCTCCATGTAAATGACACGGGAATATCTCTTCTATCTTCAAGAGGAACAGGAGGGAAGAGGGAAGAGGCACAGGATGTGAAGTCCAGTCCCCTGTCTGTCTTTGTTTTTATGTACAGTGACCTTGGTAGTTTTTTTTTTCCTTTTTTTTTTCAATTTTTGTTGCGGTCAATACTGATTGTAAAGAACTTTTTAGTCTCCCCTTTCATATTTATATTCCTGCGAAAGAGTCTAGTACTTGAAGAAATCAATTGCAGATATTTTTTTTCTTCTTCTTCTGTTTTCAATTTCTGAAATAGGGTTATGTTATATGTAAACAAAGAAAGCAAAAAAATAAAATAAAAAAAATAAATAAAAAAAAATCTCTCTTATTATCCTCCTATGGGTGTCTTCTTCTACGTATTCCCCATGCAAATATCAACAAAAGCATTTCCCGTATGAACTACAAACTTGAACTCATAAAAATTTTATTTTGGTAAACACAACGATTTTGGCGGCAGATGTGAGTCAGATCAATTTGCCGTGTTCTTTAGAATGTGCATTAGCATTAGGGATCTTCCTTATAAACACATTTGATTCATCCAAAAATTAAGTGTTGCTGTAAAGACGGTGACGGATCATAGTTGATTTGCAATAACAAAACAATTGGAAGAAGCTTTTCCAACGGAAGAAGGCAGCAGCAGTACATTGCATCATCATAAACAGATTACAGATCCAAATTCCAATACAAACATACAATTCGATTTCAATTTCACATCATTCTCACTCATCCATAATTGAATTGTCTTTCTTTTTCTTTTTTACAGAAGGAAACTGAGTGTACGATGGTGATGGGAAGAGGCAATATCAGACGGCCTTGAGCGCATCGGAATGAGCAGAAGTGGAGGTAGCAGCGGCCTTGGGATCTTCCTCCACCTCGACATGGATGGTGGTGGCGGTGGAGTTAGGGTTGAGAGGGGCGCGGATATCAGAGGAAACGACGTCGTCATCGGGATCGTAGTCGGGGTTAAGATTGCGATCGATGGCTTGGCGGCCTTGCTCAAGGCAAGGCTTGCAGGCAATCTCGATGGTTATCCAACCCAGCACCACCCCCACTATCGCTATCACTGCGCTGGTTATCGCTCCCATTTTCTTCTCTCTTCTCTCTCTGCTGTTGCTTTGCTTTCACTCTCAACTCAAGTATCAACTGACGACTCTGTCTGTGCCGCTACTAGGGATTTAGTTGGCCAACGGAAAACTGGACTAATTGGGTTGCACTGACCCAACCCAACCCAACCCAACCCTCATGGAAGCCCATTTCACGAAGCCCAGACCAAGAACCAGAGCAGTCTTAAACATGAAGATTTTATCTTAACCATTTTCAGAGAGAACATCTCATGCTCATGGTGAAACTTAAACAAAGATTCAAATCAAATATTAAACAAGAATTATGGGATAAATAAAAAAATTATGAAAGATTGGATTGATGAAAGTTCAGTTTTTGTAAATTTTTTAGCATGAAAGATTGGATTGATGAAAATTTTGGCATCCTTATATTAAGTGAGGCCTAGACAGAAAAAATGAATTTTATGATTAGTTATATATCAAGATTAATAGATAATAATTGTTTACACAGAGGATACAAGAATATGTAAAAAGGCCAAAAAGGATACAAGAATACAAGACGACTAATAATAAGCTTTCGTGACAAGAGAAATGCTAATTACTACTACGTACGGAAGATGCAACCAAAACTTTGTTCCCTTTTATAATACAACACATTATAAGCTATGTAAGCTCATTTTGTTCGAAGTGGTTCTTCATGCTCCTCGGAAGCATAGGTCTTCAGTGCACTCACATCACCTCACCTCTAGGCAATTTCCTGGCTAGCCTGATTATCTGCTGCATGCACCTATTTCACCTGCGTATCTATAAGCAAGTAAACCCAAATTAATAGGTTGATATCTACCCCTCTGCCCATTGTCCTTTCTAAGACTTGAAAATCATCAGAGGGGTAGTGCAAGATCAATGACAACGTATAAAAATATAATACCATTTGGTCTTATTCAAGCCTTTGCACTTGAAGTCGAATGGAGTGAACCCTAACTCAATACAAAGTTTTTTCTTTTTTCTTTTTTTCTTTTCTTTTTAAAAGGACATTTGTATAGCGGCTTTCACACTATAAGGGCGGTAGCCCTCTCCATTAAAAATTAAGTGCACACCCACTCTCTAATGGTAGCTTTCACACGTTCCTTCATGGGTAGCCCTCTCCATATTTACTAAACGGTGTACTAGCTTCACAATAGGAAGCCGTTAATGTGGTGGCTTTCACTCTATTAGGGTGGTAGCCATCTTTGTTAAAAGTGAAGCATATAAACCTACCTACCTCAACATTAGCTTTCACTCAACCCTAATAGGTAGCCTTCTCTTAATTTATTGTGTACACCAATTTTGTATAGGTAGCTTTCACACCATAAAGGTGGTAGCCCTCTCCATTAGAGACTAAGTGTGCACCCACCTCCATGACAGCTTCACACATCCCTTACATGCAGCCATCTCTATACATAAACCCTTCTTAAAAAGTAACATTGGTGGTCAATCTAGAGTCATCTTTTTACAAGACTTGGAAGGGTTTACTCCATTGGTCAATCTATAGTCTTTTACACCTCCTCACAAAGGAATTAGTGTAATTGTCAGAGACCTATCAAATGTTTGGCATTGAATAAGACCATAACCAGCAATAGAAATATCATAACTCAGCCCACCGATTTTAGGTGGACACCCATGGTCTCGAGCTGAGGCCGGGGATGTCAACCCCTTACATAGATTCTACTTATCAACCTCAATGTTGAATATGCGACGCAGCTCCATTGTCGCAGACTCAACAGAGTGGTTTGGTGTGGGAGGAGGGCACTCCCCAGCTGGGGACAGGGATGGGGATGGGGATGAAAAGAAATGGGGCATTGGGAGTGCTTGTGGTGGGGGCGAATTCAGGTAGGATGGCCCTGCCCAACGTTCACCCCCGAGTGATGAAATGTAAAGCGTACTTGGACGACGACGAATGGCCCCTCCGCTGCGGCTCAACATGGTGAATTGTTGTAGAGTGATTGTGAGTATTTGTTTTTGGTCTGAAAGAGTGATTGTGAGTATGGTGATCAACTTTGGCGTGTAATATTTATAGGTTGTAGAAGGATCCGCATGGATAATGAAGAAATAGAAGGATTAGAAAAATTATTGTCTTGATTATCCTTTTGTGTTGTTTATCCTTGGACAAAATATAATGTTATCACTTTGTTTCTATTGCTACTTGAAATAAGGAAGGAAAGATAGGGCATCTTTGTTCGAACTTTTATTTTATCTTATCCATAGAAGATAATTATTTTCCTTTTGTTTTTAATTATTTGCATTTAAATGGATTAGTGGATAAAGGATCATATAGATATATAGATGAACGACCAAACAAATCCGACTAGAATCCTAATCCAATTGGAACACCCTAATCCTATATCATATATAGATATTTAGATCATAAGTTCTTTTTACCTTTATGTCAAATGGGTCAAGAAATTAACCAAATTTGCAAATTACACGTACCAAAAGATCGGAGACAAGTTTTTCACAGGTTTTATGTTAGAAATCTGATTGGCACTTGTGCTAATCATGCATGCAGCTATGAATGAAACCAAAGATCGGCTAAGAATTCGAATAACAGACTCAAAGCACCAAAGATGGGAAATCCCACAACAAGGACTAATACATATCCAGCTCTCCTCCTCCCTCCCCAAAGCTAGGTCCTCCCTTTTCGGCCTCAGCGAGCACACCAAGTCCTCCTTCAAGCTCACCCCAGACCAGACCCTGACATTCTTGACCGCTGACATTGCCAGCGCCAATGCTAACCTCAAGCTATTAATTTGCAAGAATTCTCATTTAATTTACAAGGTTTCTTCCACTCCAAGCTATTAGTCAACTACTATTTGAAGGTGACCACATTGTATGTCTGTCACTGTTGCACCAGCTGTTGCTTTGCTTCATTCTCTCTGATGTGGTGTCATTTTTACCCCCCAAACTCAGCTCTTCTCTCAACCTCAGATGCCAGAAATGAATCATTATTTCCTAATTTAAGCTTTTGATACAGCAACACTTAGAAACAATTAATATTTGAACAACCATGGAACTCAAAAGACCGTGGACTTAAAAGTTTCGTTCAGGGACAGCTGTATACCAAAGCTTTCTGTTCATTTGTTTGTTCACCCTTTTCTTTGAAGCTCACAACTTCGCGATCAATCTGTTCTACATGTCAATCCCCAAAAATGTTAAGCACTAAAAAATCTTATGCAGATGCTCTAGCACCTAAACCACTCATCTAAGTATCATATTCAAAGCATGGAATGAGATCTAATAATCTTTTCTCCACCTCAACTGTAAAGAAAAAAACCTGCTACTTCATGATGCAGAAGAAGCAGGGCAATCTATCTGAATTACTTTTCAATTGTAGACGCAACACATATTGAGGGATGAAGGCAAGAACGGAAGGCAAAATCAAAGGATGAACAACCATATACTTAAATTCATACATTCCAATAACCACCAAACCCTTTTACACACAACCATTATAGCTCAGTACAGCTTAAGTATTTTATATAGGAACTTATTTAAGGACATACAAAGTGATGAAACATGAAAAGCTAAGCAAACAGGACCTGTGAGCTTGAGGGTGTCAAGTCAGAGAAACAATCTGGGGAATCAACCACATTCCATTGAACACCAAAGCACCACTTCTTCTCACAAGTTCCTTTACGGCTAACCCTTGAGATGTGACCCTCAGCAACATGAAGGTTCCTACCCACAACATATATCCTGCAATCGCAGGCATTCACAGCAAAGGGTTTACATATCTGCTCTGGCAAAGGGGGCCCTTCTATTGTTTCCCACTTATCAGTATCCGCATCATAAACTTTAAGCTTCATCCTTTCAAGCTCTGAGACCACAAACAAATGGCCATAAATCACCACACTTGAACCTGTCCAGCCTTCTCTGAGTCCAACAGCCATACTCTCCCAACTATTAGTTCTTGGATCATAAACCTGACCCCTGGGAGAGACATAGAAAGGCCACAACCAGCCTTCGGTAACAAGAAGCTTTCCGTTGAGAACTGCTGCATCATAAGAGGCCATATTTGTTCCCATATTCGCAATGGGATGCCAAGTCCCTTCAACAGGGTCCAAAACCTCAGCTGAGTCAAGCTCAAAAAGATCCGTGCTGTTTCCTCCAGCCACATAAATCATCCCATCAATA